ATAATTAAGAATTTTTCGAAAACTTATATGGTTGGTGTCGTACTTATCACGTTCAATCTAAGAGCAATCTTACTTGTAAATAACTGTGTAAGAAAAATTGTATATTCATACAAACTCATATATGTGCGTACTTATACATACATACATATGTTGTTTTCATTTTTTTAAGACAAATTTTTTTTTTGCTTTCTTATTTATAAATTTATATAAACAAATTTTGTTTTTGTTATCGTTATCATAACAATTATATAATTATATTATTATAATTTTTAATTAACAAATTACGCACTTTCATTAATTGAAAGTTTTTTAATTTTTGCTGATGAATCAAATTTGTTATATTTATAGAGAAAACATCACTTGAAATGATATTGAAAATGAAATTTTTAAAAATTTTATACTAATTTAAAATGCTTATTAATTCAAGGTAGTCAAAAATTTTAAAAGCCCTCAAAATGATTCCTCTTCGATCTATTATTAAGTAATTGCCATTTTGTTTGCTATGCTGTAACATTTTGGAAAATTTTGAAAATCTTCGAGTAATATGGTATTAAAATAAACATAGTTCACTTTTTGAGTTGTTATTATATACGTTAAGCAACAATATTTGATTCACGAAACACTTATATGAGATTAAAAATAAAATTGTCATTCCCTCTCAAATTGTCATTCTCTCTCAATTGTCAATGTTTTCACAAAACTGTTTACAATATTTTGAAAATTGAATTTGATTGAATATTAGTTTAGTATTCATTCACAATAATCTCATACAACAAAATATTCATTCACAATTTTTTGTTTTATTGAAAACTATTTGTTTATTTTTTTTTTGTTTTTGTTCTGTTATTGTATTTTTTTAATCTTTTTTGTTGTTTTACTCTACAATACGTACAATATGTATATAAATTTTTTATAACATGTATGCGAAAACAAATTCCGGAAATGAAATTATTAATTTATTTATTATTATTGTCTTATGATATTGTCGTTTTTCTTTTTATATATTTTATTTACTTAATCTACATTCAATGTTTTTTTCTATTATTGTTAATAATAAAATACTATCACATCACCATTAATCTTAAAAAAGATAGAAACAACTCTCTTGAACACAATATTTAATTTATATCAATTTATGTGTATATACGTTTGTATTTATTATTTAATACGTTTATGTTTAAATACACAATTTAATATATATATATATGTATATGTATAAATGTTTATATATTATTTATGTATATGTTTTGTATAGATATACGCACACGGTACACGAATCCGTATCAAAAAGATTTACTTAGATTATTTTTAAAAGCTATTTTTATTTTGTATCGGTACTTATATTAGACTGAAAAATATGGACGTTGTCTACGTATTGGCGTTTCGTGCGTGCATATACTTATGTATTTTTTCAAATAAAACGACAATAAAATGGGAAAAGAAAAAGAATAGAAAAAATACAAGAGAAACAGAATAAAAACGAGAACTCTAGGGAAGATTGAAAATGATTTGGATTTTTTTAAAAACTGAAAACCTTTTTCTAAATTATTCTTTTCTTTCTTTAACATAAAAAATAAGAAAAAAAAAATAAGAACAGAAATTCGCGCGCGCATTTCGCGGTTTCCGATTTATGCTTGTTTATTTATTTTTTTTGTTTTTTTTTTTTTTTAATTATCATTCAATGTTCCTGTAGTGTTTTTGTTTCACTTTATTTTTTTATATTAAATGATTGTGTAGTGATAGATTACTTCACTCAACTCTTTCAATTAAAAAATTTTTCAAATTGGTAAAATTTGGAAAATTGAAAAAAAAAGAACCAAATTCCTTTTTGGTTTTGTAAACTATTTTCGAGAGAAAATTGAATTTTTTATTCATAATTAAAAATAAAATGTAATAAAAAAATTAAATGAAAGGTTTTCTATTCGAATTAAGTACATTTAATTACATTATTAATGTTAATTATTAATTTAATTTATTATTAAGTACTTACTTATGGCCTTTGAATGTTATATTTGAATTTAATTATATAGGTACTACTTAAATACTTAGTTACTTGTGATGTTTAATCTGTACTTAATATTGAAGTTATTATTGTACTTGTAAAACTATTGTATGCAATATTGAATAATTCATATTTTTAACCCTTTTTGCCACAACGGATGAAAGTAAGAATTATGATGCAAGGAAATTTAATCTAAATAATAAAAATCTAATATGCTCAACACATAACCGACCGCAATGCATACTTTTTAGATTAGTAAAAGTATTCTAAAAGATTATTAAAATGAACAAACCTTTATTTAATATACCTAGAAAAATGTGAATTTGGCTCTTAGTAGAGTTTCATTTTGAGCCGTCCAAATTATACGAAAAGTCTGTCAGTAACTTCTGGTAACAACCAGAACTCCATATATTATATTTCAAATAATTCGATCAATTCGTTCCATATTTATGGTAAAAAATATAAAATCGGTCCAGATCAATTACCGAGCCCTGATGTTTCCAAAAATTTTAAAGATTCATTGTTTTAATACCTCGAATTTAAATGTTAAATTTCAATGAAATCGGTTGATTATTTCTTTTTATATATGGACGTAAAAATGTATATTTGGTCCGTAGTAAACGTTCAGTTGCTGACACCTGATTTTTTCTAAGGTCAGTAGGTTTCACGTACGGTCGAATGATGTTTATATGTGAAATTTCAATATACAAAGTAGTCAAAAATATGATTAACCCGTGCCGAAATAAACTTACATATAAAATTTCATCGAAATCGGTTCAGCTGAGCTTGAGATACACGTGCGTACACACAGACAGACAGACCGACAGGTTGTTAAAAATTGTTTATTTACTCCCTATAATGGAGAAGTGCGTTTCCATCGAAAACTTGATATGCTAAATTTTGTTGCCATCACATAACACAATTCGGTCGGTAAAAAACTTGAATAAACTTTCTTACTGAAAATTTTGGAATTTCTCTTGAATTTATGAGAAAATTAAATGGTAATGAGAAAATCGATTTCAGATCATTGTTTTCACGTTTTTTTTAATGGAAAACGCTTAAGTGAAACTTAACAAATTTGATCATCTTCACTTTTTTTATAAACAAAAAAAAAACGTTCACATAAATCTAATCTTGCTATGTATTACACATGCCAGAGAATGCTTAGTCTTACATACGTCTATATCGGTATAATCTACCGATAATTTAAATTTAAATTTATTCTCTCATGAATGTGTTGTATGTTAAAACACTCATAATAATTATTATGAGTGTATTATGTATGTTAAAACACTCATAATAATTATTATGTAATATGATTTTTGAATAGGTTGCATTTATGTATATACTTATGTGGTTTGTCTGCGTTTTGTTTTCATTAAGTATACTCGTATAGACCACGAGCTGATTAAAATTTTTCAAAAATCTTTTTGATAACAAAAAAATTAACATGAAATTACTTATTTCCTATCTCCCAAAGATGCGTTTTCTTTCCTATTCAAATATCTATGTACATATATACATATGCTTCATTTTATCATCAATCATTTTATATAATATACTTATACGTACTAACTTATGTTTATTCCTTAGATTCGGTTATTAAATCAAATATTATTTATTGTTATCATTAAAGTATTCTCACTATCAGTACTTATAGTATTTATGTAAATATTATATTTATGTATATATATATACATATGTATTACATTTGCATGTGTTTTCAATAAGTAATATTGACGGATGTTGACTTTTGAATAAGTATAAGTACATATAAAATATTTTTGTTGATAAAAATTGAGCGGGGGATTATAAAAGTACAAAATGTACGCTATATTGAAAACGTTTTTAATAAAAAAAAAATTGTTTATATTTTTACATTTTTTAATCTTAAGAAAAAAATTTTTTTTCTTACATTATACTTAGTTATAATATAATTAAAGATTTAATGATATTTCAGATTTTATTGGTAATTTAATGGGAAGGAAATTTTTGTTAAAAAATTTATGTTGTGTCTGGTAATTTTTTTATTAAAAAAATTATAAGTACTTAAATATAACTACAGCCATAGGTAACTTGCTGTTTTATGCTTTTATTTTTGTTATTTTTGGATTATTTTATTCACTGAATCATTTATATTTTATCACCGGTTTATGTTTCAATCATACCCGCGCGTTCACAACATTTTATTTACAATATTTTTTTAATTTTATATTTGAGAAAGTATGCCGGGAAGTTGGCAATACTGTTGGTATACGAATTGTGTGATAAAGCGTTTGTTAAATAAATTTTAATTTTTACGAAATATTTTAAGGACAACCTGTGAGTTGAATATTCCTTTAAAATGAAGAATTCATAAATTTAACACTGTATGTTTCCAATTTATATATTTACTAATTTAAATAAACAAAATAAATCTCAAAATGAGATGAAAATTATTGGCCGTATAGAGTAGCAAGTAATTAATATAATTTCATTTAAATATTCCAAGATTATAATGAAAATAAAATTCTAAAGTTGGCAATCCATGTAATACAAAAACTTAATTAGTAAACCTAATTAACAAATATATATTTTTACAGTAAGGATGATAACAATATTCACATCTTTAATCTCAACCTAATGTTAATTAAATTTTAGTTAAATTATTTTATTATTTACAATTTCTCTTTTTCTTTCTCTTGTTTTAATTAATAAAGTCACAAAATTACTTTATATTAAGTTCAAATAAAATTTTTTAGTTTTCCTACTGTCCTTATTTCCTCAGAAAGCTTAATGTAGCTTCTGTATGTAATATTATACAATTAAAAATAAATTATTGTCTATGCAGATTAAAAACAAATTTTTCGACATTACAAACAAAATCTCTCAAAATTTTCAACAAAACTAAATAATATTTAAACATTTTTTTCATCAAATATTTAAATTCTTAAAAATGTTACATTACTTATACCTTATGCTTATAAATTTTTCCATATTTTTTTTGGTGTATTTTCAGGAGGCAACTGCATAAAAACTACTCTTTTTTCAAAAAGAAAAGAAAGCACCTCAATTAACGTCCACTTATAAAATAGAGGAACAAGAACAGTTAGTAAACATTTATTCATAATATAAAACCGAAAATATAATTAAAAATCAAAAACGATGACGGATTTTGGTGGTCCCCGGCTGGTGTACCGAGGACGTTAAACAAGAGAAAATATTAGTTTTATTTTAACATATATGGATCGTAGGAATGGCGGCGATTCTTTGGCGCCTCCCCGGCCCCCGAAATCATTACCACGTGTCCATCGTCCAAGGGCCCCAGAGCCGCCGATGATGAGCGCCTCTAATTTAGAAACAAATTCAACAACAGTAATTTTACATTCATGTAATATACCACAACAAATTCAACACCAACAACAGCCGCCGCAATTTCAACAACAGCAACAGCAGCAGCAACAACAACAACTACAGTCTCATAATCAGATATGTACAAACAATCATATTCACCCGAATAGGAACAATAATAATATTATTAATAGTAATATAAATAATAATTTAAATAGACCTAATAGTAGCAATTCAAATATTGTAAATAGTAATATTAATAGTAATAATATACTTAATAATCTTAACAGTAACAGTAATAGTAATAACAATAATAATATTAATAATAATTTAACAGCTCAACGAGCACCATTAACAGCACCATTGATACCATTACACAGTTCGATTAATAATAATTCAAATATTAGTAATATAAATTTAGGTAGCACAACACCATCAACAAATTTAACATCAAGTAATAGTTTTACGCGACGTAGACCACAAACACCAGTTATTGGTTTACAAATATTACCGCCACCAACAACACCATTATTATCATCATCGAATTTAATATTACATAGTAACATTAATAATAACGAATCATCATCAATATCACCGGTCACACTGGCGGCACCGCGACCTGAAAACGAAAGACTCTCCAATGAGTATGTCGATACACCATTACGTAGTGCAACAACGGCTAATTTGCATCATGCGACGCGTATTCAACACCCTGCGGGTCAAACAGTTAGAGGACAAACTACGACGTCACATAATTTACTGCATAATCAAAGACAGCATTTGCAGTTGCACAATAGTAGCACCCATACCCATCATCATCAACCACAACACCATCAAATACATTTTAATTCAACAACAAGTCATAGTAATAATATTTTTAATAATCATAATAATAATATTAGTAATAGTAATAATGAACGTCATCGTCAAGCGTCTAATGTACCCAGTAGTATTAGCACAGCCGGCGGTGGTAGTGCGGGAAGTAGTAGTGGAACACTACGACAAGTTATTAGTAGCGGAGTATGTGGAATTGACGGTTCCTCAAATACATTACATTCGAATAATATTAGCCATAAGAACATTATTAGTAGCTCAATTAGTGGTACAACGTGTGAAGATTCTATTTCGACGACGATATCACCAACTATTGCGTCGATAACACATCCACCAATTACAACAACAGCAAATAATCAAAATCAAAGAGTAATTCCAGGTACAGTGGTACGGCAAAGCCATCAATCACAACAACAACAATCTACAAATCATCATTCATCAACGACATTACCGATAACAGAACCAATAACAAAACAACCAGCACCATTTACAAAAGATTGCCTTTCAGCATCTATATTGCATGAAGAATTAGATTTACATCATCTTGGTACTAGCAATACAACTACTGGTAATTTAACTAGTGGCGGCTTAGGTGGTAATAGCGGTAATTCAACTAATCATAGTGACTATTTAAATTCGATAACATGTCCGCAATGTAAAAAATGTCGTTGTGAACAATGCCAAAGCCCTAGACAATTACCTTCAAAATGGGTATGTAATAAAACATGTTTATGTAGTGCCGAAACAGTAATTGATTATGCATCATGTTTATGTTGTGTAAAAGCTTTATTTTATCATTGTTCTAAAGACCATGAAATGGAATGTGATGATGGGACCGATAGTATATCTTGTGCCGATGATCCATGTTCCTGTTTACCCCATAAACGTGCAACAAGATGGGGTTGGCTAGGAGCAATATCATTAGTGTTACCTTGCTTATGGTGTTATTGGCCAATGAGAGGTTGTATTGCGATATGTGCAAAATGTTATGCACGCCATTCGAGGCATGGTTGCCGTTGTAATAATTATCAATCACAAATAGGATCAACAAGCAGTATGTTACCAATTGCACCAGCGCATGGAAATCAAATTATTGCATCTAAATCATCTGGTGTTGGTAGCGGTAATAATGGTAACGGTGGTAATGGTGGAAATGGAAGTAACGGCGGTGGTTGTATTAGTAGTGGTATAAATTCAAATAGCGGTAGTCATCATCAACATCATTTTAATAATAGTGGTGTTAGTCGAATAATTCGAACAAATGATCTTACACCAGAAAAAAGGTTACTCGATTCAAGTCCTGAATTTTAAATTTATTTATTAATATAAAAAAAAAAATTTTTTTTTGTACAGAAAAAATATAAAGAAATTAAATTAAATTAAGGATTCTAATGAAGCAAAATTAAGAATGTTAATTATAAACATATTGTAATCAAAATGTATACGGCTAAAAAAAAAAATCTTTAAAATTATTTTGGTTTTTATTCATTTATTTTAATTTTAGTTAATTTTAAAAAATTTCATTTTGTCAATTTTAGAAAAGAATTACGCATTTTATTTTTTTCACAAAACATAACCAATTAAAATTATTGTCAACAGGAAAATAAAGTTTAAAGAAGCATTTAAAGTAAAAAACGTGAAAGCGAAACGCTAAAATAAATTTTTGAATACTTATCTGAAAAATTAACTAACTATCTAGTCCAAATTTTTTTTTCAATTTTTTTTTTTAATACATTTTAAATAATTAATCAATTAATTTTGCTCTACGTTCTAGACTTACTGACAAACAATATAATAATCAAATTGCTTCTAATAGTTTCAGTGAGAGTCGTAAAAAAATATTTCATTAAATAAAATAAAATGTCACTAAATTCAAACTGGAATAAAATAAAATGTCAAATTTAGATGTTGTCTTTGTTGTTAATTTGAAATTTTTTAATTTTTTTTAACGTCTTCATTATTTTTCGATAGCACCTACTTTAATACTTTGGCAATAAACTCAATTTTTATAGAATTAAAAGTAAATTATAAAAAAAAATATAATTGCATTGTTTTCATTATACTGAAACCGTATACAATTTCAATGTTCTATTTAACCGTATAAGACTTAAAATGCAAATTAACCTTTCTTTTGTTTTATTTTATTTTTTTTTATGAAAGATTACTAAGAAAATACTACCAAGAATAAATATTAAGAATTTTTTTTTAATTTAATTGTACATAAATCGCTATTAAAATTACTAATTTATATAAAAAGAAATAAATTACAAACAAAAATAAAACAAACTAAAATATTGTATTACAAAAACATGAATGTAAAATTATTTAAAATAATAAAACAAAATTACTAAAACAAAAATGAAAAATTAGAAACAAGTTAAAATTAAAAACCAAATTATTAAATAAAAAATATTTTATATTCAAATTACAAGAAAAAAAAAAACTTTATTATCTATTTGTAACTTAAAAATAATATTTCAAATAAATTAAATTAAATAAAAATCAAAAATAAATTGAAATCAATTAATGTAATTGCAAATAACTGAAATATTGAAGAAGAAAACAAAATAAAAACAACAAAAACTTATTAATAAAATTCAAAAGGAAGACGTTTTTTTTAAATTAATTTTAAATTTTTTGTTTTATTTGTTTTATTTTGTTTTGTAAACAAAATATTATATTTTATTATTTATATAAAAGCCGTTTGGACTGTAATTTTGTACATTGAGGAAATTAAAAAAAGAAAAAATACAAAAAAAAAATAATAAATTTTTAAAAAACTATAAAATTAAATATTTAAATTAAAAAAAAAGTAAAGAAAAGAAATGAAAAACAAAAACAAGTTCTTATGTTTCAAAAAAAAAAAAAATTATATATATATGTATATATATATATATATTGTAACCAAAGACTGCAAACAAATAATTAATAACATGTATAATTATGTATACAAATGTATATTATATATTTATATGTACATACATATATATACAAACATAATTAAATATTTATATAAAAATCCAGAATATTCAAAGTGCAAATAAAGCGCGCATAAAATTACCAATGTCACATGATCAAATTTTAAAAATCAAAAATTTTTATTAATACCACATAATCGAAATTATACTTATTATTTATACTTTCACAACGCAAATTTTTGGTTTGCCGACTTATACTGTCAAAAATGAATAATGTGACTGAATAAGTGATGTCGTTAAATGACATTAGCTCAAATTACCCAGAATTGTAATTTATAAAAAATATTTTTCCATTTTGCATGAGAAAACTTTTGCTTTAAGTCATCATTTGTTATTTTTTTACAAGCGCTTTATTTTCAATTTTCATGCTAGGAATATTCATAAATATCTTTTTATGAATATATATATATATATATATATATACCTATAAATATATAATATGCATACATATATACGTTTATTTACATAATATATAAATTATAAAAAAAAAAAGAAAAAAACAATTTATAAATAAATATAGAAATGTTATTTTTATTAATTTTATTTTATTAGTTTTTTTTTTTAATAATTGTAATTATAATTATATAATATATTTATATATAAACTAATGTATAATAACTATATAATAATAAATATAGTAATTTATATAATAATATTAATAGCGAAAATAAAAAAAAACAAAATAAATTTCAATAAATTAAATATAAATATTTAAAAAAAAAAAACATGCGATATTAAATAAAATAACAAAATTGGAAAACTAAATTATACATAAATTATGTATATGACATGTAAATAGACACAAGAAAAAAAAAATAAAAAAGAGAAAAGAATGAAAATTATAAAATAATGAAATGATGCATTACAAATACATAAAATATATGAATAATTTTTTATATTAAGAATGTATAACTAAATTTTAGTAAGAAATAAATAGCAAAAATTAAAGATTTTTTTTACAAATCAGCTAAAAAGGGAAAAAAATGTATAAAATAAAAATAAACAGACAACAATTTTGTAATAATAAAAGATTAGATATTTTTTTTCTAAATACAAAAATCTGTAATATTCAACCTATGTCTAATATAAATAAAAGAAATTGTCTTAAAATTTTTCAATTTCCTTTGGATTTTTATTGTTTACCATGCGTTTAAGGTTTTATTGATTATTCTTTTTAGAATAATTTAATTAATTGTGTTTAATATTTTTTTTTTAATGTTTTTCATTTTAATTTAATATTTCAATTTTAATTAGTATCTTCTTAATTTCTGAAACAATAATATTAACTATACGTCATTAATACTTATTTGTCATTGTTAATTTATTAACATCATGACACAAATTTGACATAAATTCATTATAGTATAATTTAATTTACAATTACAAAAAAATTAAATTTTAATGTAATTTTGAACATTCGCCTATATTCTTTTAGTCGCATCACTTAACGTGATAGGTTATTTTTGATCAATCTTTTAATTTTCTGATTAAAATATATTCTGAAATTCGAAGTTCTATACAGGAAAACGAAATTCTTTTCAATAATATTCCATCACCTCAAGTGATGCGACTAACAAAATATGAGCGTTTATTTCAAATTTTTATTAATTTTTGCTAATAATTCTTAATTTTTTTCATATTCTTTTGTTTTTCTCAAGCCAAAATAATGAAAAATTACGGACAATTTATATTAATTCCAATAAAAATCTACACAATTACATATATTAAATATTTATAACATAAAACGGGTTACTTGGTATCTTTTTAATTATTTTTCAATTCAACTGCAACCAAAAGTGTCTTAAAAAAATATTTGTAATGCATCTAAAAAAATTTGATTTTGTTTTTTTCTTCAGATTTTTTTTTTTTTGAAAATTCAAAAAAAAATTTATTTTTTTTTTTTTTTTTTTGTAAAATTCATTCAGTAAATTTTGTTCGACACTATTAAATATTAAGAATAACTATACAAAAATTTAAAGAAAAAAACAAAAAAAAAACATAGAAAAAAACTAAGAGATAAATAAATTAATGAAACAAAGAAAGAAAAAAATTAAAAAAAAAACAAATTTCTTACAAAAAACTAATTACATACAATCTTTTTATGTATACATATATAATATATATATATACATATATTTAATATGCAAATATAATATAGATAAACAATTATAAAAAATTATATGAAAAGTAAAAAATGAAATGAAAATTAATTTTTACTTAAAATTACTATACAATGACGAACATTTGTTAAAAAAAAGCAAAATAAAAAAAGAATGCAAAAAATAGAAAAAACATATGAACAACTTAAAACATAAACACTTTAAGAGCAAAAAACAAAAAAGTAAACTTATTATATAAATGTTAAAAATTATATAAAAAAAAAGGAAAAATTCAAAAAAATAAACAAAATAAAATTAATATTAAATTTTTAAGATAATTAAAATAAAGCAAGAAAATAAAAAAAAATAAAAAATTAAAAAAAATTCAAGAAAATCTAATAGTTATAATGTAATAAATTAAATATTAAAAAAATATATATATATAAATACATATATAAAAAAATTATACATAATAAAAAAAAATATTGAAAAAATTAAAAAAAAAATACACACAAAACTAAAAATACATATTATAAATATATATTTATTTTATTTTTATGTATAGATGTATTTCATGTTCCGTTTCAATTTTTTATTTTAAATGTTTCCATATTATTAATTTAATAATATACATACTAGGGAAAAACAAATAAATACAAAAATTAATTAATATAAAAAAAAATTAATAAAAAAAAAAAACAAAACAAATATTACAAGTTTTTTATTCAAAATATTTTTTATGAACAGCAAGAAATTAGACACTCAAATAATTCTTAATAAGTTTTTTATATCATAGATGACATTAAAGATTTTTCGATGCTAGATATTTTGGGTGTTTTTGATAATTCTAGCTATACTAAATTTGCAATAATTTCGCAAATAAAGAAATGCAAGAAAGAAATATTTTTATAATGTAGAATTTTTCTCATGTTTTTAAGCACATTTAATAAGTTTTACTGACAAAACTATGAGAGGCAAAGAAAAATGTTGATGAAAAATTTCGATTTTTAAAAAAAAAAAATTAAAAAAAAAAACTAAAATTGTGATTTTAACGAGTTTTACCTTGATAACTATTGTTCAAATCAAATTCATTTTGAGATTGAAAATAAAGAGCAATCAATCGCCTGTATAAAACAAGCTATGTTGTATAGCTTCGAAGAATTTTTTTATAATGATGCAGGAAAAATCTTGTACCTTTTTGTAGCTCGAAAACAATTATATCCGCAGTCCATAGAATTTTTTGCTGAAAATTAATCAAAGAGTCACCCCTGAAATTATTAGCTACCTTATGTAAAACACCCTGTATATGGTATGTTAAGGAATTCCACGTTTAACGAGAATTTGAAAATGTATTGATGGTAAAAGACATTTCCTCTAGTTACTTAATATAAACTTTAAAGGTTTTTAAGAAAGTAAGTATAAATGTATTTTTAATACAAAAATTACTTAAAATTTAAATTGCATTATAATTTGTAAATTTAAATCAAAATTAATTTACTTATTGTCACAATTGCTTTAGAATTAACTTCATAAATTAATTAATTTTATTTCAGTTTCAATGGAACATAACTATTACTTTTATAAAATTTGACAAATTTTGAAGTTCTCGAAATACCGTGAGTTTCATTAAAAAATTATATACATATTTACACTTCTATATACATATACTGTTAAAACTACGTAATTTCATAAAATTTCTGATATATTCATACAGTCTACTTAATTAAGATTCGATTGGATAAGTTATAGGCTCTAGACAGCAACAAACACAATTTAAAAATTTCAATACTTCCAAATTTTATATGAAATAGTGGCTTACTTTAAAATTTACTTAATGAATTTTTTTGTAATTTTTTCATTCATAAAATTATATTGTTATATATGTGCTCATTCTATAAAATTTTTTAATTAATAACAAAATATAAGATACAAATGCGTTTATTTTAAAAAGTTATTTTAATTTTAAATATATTATGTAATTATTGATAAACTATACTTGCATATGTATGTATATAAGATTATATGTATACGAGTACATATATAAAATAATCATATGTATCAAAAAGTAAGAAATTAAAATAACATAAAATGCAAAATTTAGAAGCTCTTCTGTTTCTGTTTTTCTTTTTATACGATTATTGCATTTTATAAAATCTTTTTGTTTTGAATTAAATTAAAAAATTTCAAATTAATCGTGCAACAAAGTTTAAAATTTAAAAAAAAAATAAAATATTCTTATT